TTCGATAGCATGTTCGAGGTAAAACTAGAAGACGTTCCCATTTATCGCTTTTCCAACCAAGACTAAGTTTTGTAGACGCAGTTATACGCGACTGTAATTACTAGCACGATAAGCGTGTTTTTTGAGTCTTCATTCGACAGATCTGCGTAGAATGTAGACATTATCATCGCTATCGCTTTGACTGAAAGACGTGCTATCCGTAGTAATTAGAATAATTAACCTAGCTTGTGCACTTTGTTGTCGTTAGTTACCACCACCCTCTGACACTGCACATCTACCTGTCCAACATGAGCAGGTGAGTAATTACACAAGTGTGAAGTATTCCATCAATTCAAGTTATTCTTTCAGTGAACTTATGATTACCTTTTTTTAACACGTTTTTTTTTCATTGTTTTGCAGTTCCCACCACAGTACCAACAACAATACGAGCCCCAGTATCATAATCCGCAGCAAGTGGATCCTTCGCAAAAAGTCGAGGTGCGGTATCACGGGCTTCCAGGACAGATACCGCAATACCAGGAACAACCCTATCAACCTCAAGTTCCACCGCCTCAGCAACATTATCCTGGTCAGATTCCGCAGCAGCAACAGTACCAGGGACAACAGCCGCAGTATCAAGTACCAGTACCGCAACAGCCTCAGTTCCAACCTCAGGGCCAACCTCAGCAAGCACAGCAACAATTCCAAGGCCAGCATCAGCAGGTCCAACAACAGATTCACAATCAGCCTCAACAGGTCCAACAACAGACTCAGAACCAGCCTCAGCAAGCCCAACAACAGATTCACAATCAGCCTCAACAGGTCCAACAACAGACCCAGAATCAGCCTCAACAAGCTCAGCAGCAAACACAACAGCAGCAAATGCAGAATCAAGTGCCACAAAATACTCAGAGTAACGTTCCGTCGAGCAGCCAAGGTGCTGCACAAGTCAGCCACAATCTTCTACAGCAACAAGATCCGAAGCTTGTTAAACAACAAATCAACCAGAACATTGTACCGAATATGTAGACAGTGTAGCTAACGCGATGTGATGATCGAATAGTTAATAAAAATGTTTTTAGTTAATTTTTTTTTCTAAATCGTGGACCAGTAAAAATATTGGACAAAGTTCTATGGTTCTCGATTTAAAAAGGCTATATGAGACTCTTAAAAAAAATTTAATTTCAGAGAAGTGCAAGCGAAATATAGTATTTACATGTTTATTTATGCCAGAAATACTGATAATAATTTTACTTTTGTAATTATTTTAAGGCTTCTGTCGTGGCATCAGCCATATTCAGTTACGATATTGGAAGCAAAAAATCATGTAAACTCTTTTTCTTGCAAATATATAAATATAAATTAATTCTGTTAATTATAAAAGGATATACCCTGAAGTGAAGATAAAATTTCCACGCAATATTAAGTTAGCCGCTGCGATAAAACAGTTAATATTTTTATGCATTTGCTCAACAAGCAGGCTAGTAGTTGCTTTGGCGACATGAACGTGTTCCTTGATATATTATATTTCATTAATTTATGCTGTGGACACAGTATACATATATGTATGTATGTATAACAAGAAATGATTTACATGGTTTTTTCGTTTCATGACTCAATGTGGTTGTAGCTAGGAAAGAGCCCTAATTATTACATGTGCAATATACTGTTGAATTTTTTTTGTAACTCAGAATTAATTCAACAAATTGCTAAGACCGATAATGTTTATCATTGTTTTTAGCGAACCATTTCTTTACTAATATTGCGATCATATTGTATAAAATGTCTCATTGCTAAATAAATGTTTTCCGAAAAATGTATTAACTCGTTAGAACTTTACATATGTTATTATCTTGCGATTGTGTACAGGATACATCATGCACGATATGTATGTAACTGACACATGAAACTCGATCAAGGCTCCGTCGACGTTTAAAACTTCGTACAAGCGAGAATGAAGTTCCTTAATTAATGTCTTACCGTGAGAATGTTATTTCACTGCGAATCAGACTGGAATAACTTTATTAAAATTCAAGGAGATTTAAGAAAGAGGGTAGAAGGGAAGAGTAGACACTGCAAAACAAGACACATCTTTCGTTTCTCATATTTATTTGTTATTGCATACTGTTTATGTTAGTATATTACTTAGGTATACGTGCCAAGTAGCAACTTAAATGTATGATTGCGTGATTCATCTGTTTGTTCCACCCGTCAAGCGCGCGGATAGGTAGGTAGGTAGGTAGGTAGGTAGGTAATGTAAGTTGCTTACTCCACTATATATAGGGTGTATTTATAAGTATAGCATACCTCGGTAGAACGTCTTCTTACGAGCTAATCGGTAATAAATAAAAGTTGGGCTCGGGGGTCGGGCTTGGGGGAGGATCTGGGGCTGGGGGGAGGGGAGAGTGGGAGAACGCGTTTAATAATGGGCGAACGATTTTGCGTTTCTGCGTCCGTGACTAAAACAAATCGTGTGCGCGACGCAGTACGTTCTCGCACGCTTTTTTTTTTCGAAGTAAATCGGGGAACGAACGTCGTTTCACGAGTCCTCGTCACGGCTACATCTCGTGCGCGTTATCACGCGTTGTTCTATCTCGACATAATCTATCGATACGGGCGACTTATCCAAACGAATTGGGCTACCTACTTGAAAAGAAATACTTGCGTGTGTGCTCGCTTTTTCAACAATTTTTTTTCTTAAAGGCGAAAAATAAAACGATAGTAACTCTACAAAA